AAAAAAAAAAAATTGTTTAACTTTTTCTTGGTTTTTTTTTTAAATTTAACCAAAAAAAAAAGATAAACAAGTTTCTTACAAAGAAGTTTAGCTACGGTTAATCTTATTTTCTTTACCATTAAATATATTTGCTCAACAATAAATTGAGTATTTCATCAAAAATGATTTCTTTATTACAATACCACCATTTTACACCAACTGTATTGTCAAACAAATGCTGCACCTAAAAGGGTATAAAAAAAGTAATTTCTCTTACAAATATTGCTATAAATTTTAGAAAAAAAAATTTACCTTACAAATATTGGTTTGCAGTGTTATAAAAAATACAAAAAAAAAAAAAATTCTTTTTTTTAGCACTTCCAATGTTTCAAACAGTTGGCGGAAGAATGTTTTATCTGAAAAAAGGACAGGAATGTATTGGTGGTAAAATAACTGAAATTCGTAATCTTATGGTTAGTTTAAATCATATTTATAACCAAGTCTTTGCACATATTTATTTTCATAGCTTCATCTAGCATTCTATTTAGTCAGAAACAGTTCCTTATTTGAATTTTAACAGCAGCAAGTCTTACTCTTATAAACTTTGTAAAACAACTGTAGATAAGTGCCTTCCAATGAAGGTTTGTTTAGATCAGAAAAAAAAAAATATGGTAGATAAACTATTGCTGTCTTCTTTTGGTTATAAAAACTTCAGCAAAAAAACTATTATTTTCTACTGTTTTATGATTCATCTATGTCTTTTTCAACCGAATAACTTTATAAAATTTTCAGTTAATAGGATATTTAATAAATTATATTGTAAAACAAAATAAATTACTTATCATAAACTTCTTTCTTTTTGAAAAAATCTACATATTACTTTCAGGTTGTAACAGTTATCAATAACAAAAAAAACAAAACTTACTGTTATTTATAATTTGAAAAAAGATAGAAAAATTTTGGTTGAAAAAAAAAACAACAACTTTTTTTTCTTCAAAGCTTTTACTTGAAAATACCAAATAAGACTGATTGCAAGTTGCATTAC